CTCAGAGAGCAGCGGATTAGTTCAGATCTTCTGTCAATAAACGCCGCCAGACCTCCCTAAACTCCTCCCGTTTCCCAGCTTTCTTCAGGTATTTAGGGTTGAGAGGAGAAGCTTATGTCAACACATCCACCATTCCTGAGATCCCCAAACCCGCTCTCATCCGCAGTTCTTCACAGACACAAACTTTAATGAGAGTTCTATGCAAATCGTGCCCTCTGTCAGCTTAGGGATTTGACTCAGAACAACTCGTCTATTACAGGAGAAAAACATGGGCTGTAGGAAGTCAGGGACTCGCTTACAGATTCTGTGGGTATGGATGTGCAAAACAGTGCCATGTCCAAGGGCCGGTTGCACCAGCTAGACGTAAAAACGCTGGGTGTAAGCCCTACGCTGTGCTTTGCAACGTCCAGCTTTACGATAAATATTTACACCTATTGCACCAACTGAAACTACGATCAGGCGCAACTACGCCCGGCGTAGACAATGCGCGTCCACGATTGCAAATGATTGCAAAGATACTATTTAAACTGAACTGAGCTGGATGTTGACATCACTGAATTCAATGATGAACTGTCTTTAACTGAAAAATGAGTGTTTACTATTGTCACTATGCATTATTGACACACTATTTTCCTAATTAATGCTGTTCAGTTGCTTTGACACAATCTATATTGTTAAAAGCGCTATATAAATAATATTTAATATATTTAAAAGTAATAATTAACTAACAGACATGAATCTTAAAAACTAATAATGTCCGAGCAAATCATGACTCTTCACTTTACACCTACCTCTGACTAGGCGTAAGATTTAGTGTCAGACGTAGCACTACGCCGAGATGGTGCAACGGGTATAAATTCTATGCATGACTTAAAGCGCATTTTACGTCCAGCCTAGTCGTACAACCGGGTGTACGTCCAGCTGGTGCAACCAGCCGCAAGACTTTAACACATTAGAACTACAGCTCTTGTGTTTATGTGTTGAAAACTATTAGATATGCTTGATAATCTATTACTTAACATAAAATGAACCTAGCATATTCTTAAGGCCGTGACACACCAAGCTGATGGTCAGCGACCGGCCAATGCCAGGCTGTTGTTGAGTGTCAGCTCAGTTTTTGTGGTGTGTTCTGCACCGTTGACACTCGTTGGACCCCGTCTGCAAATGTTTGGTTGATTGATCATCACCAAATATGCACCGGGCAGTCGGTCGAGATGTTTGAATATCAGCTCTTGATCGGGCTCCTCTGACGTGACACCCATGATAGCTGATGCGAGCGAGCAAACTAATTGCTGTCTGTAGCCCTCAGATAATTATGTTACCAAATGGCATTTTGTTACTCCATTTTTTTGGAATGATTCTAGCCAGAAATATAAATAAATAAATAATAAAAATAATAATTTATTGTTCTATGACCCTCAAATTTGACTTTTATACTCTTGTGGCTTTGGGTCTGCTGTAATTTTATGTAACACTGGCACATTTATTATTACTATTTTGTTATTTTATTTTTTGTGATAAAAATGTGTTCTGCAAAAAAGAACATATATATGATTTCATTATATACTTCATCATTACATATTATATCTCTTTCAACTTTTACATGTTTAACTTGTATTAATTCCACAACTGTGCACATAATCCAAAGGGTTGAGTTCAGCTATGTGGTTTTCACGATTAGGTTTAAAAGGGTGTGCAGTTCATTCACCTTTCACTGACCAAACTATAAAAATAAAAAAATGAAACAAAAATAATATCTTTTTCAGAATGTGTTTTTTTTCATACAATGGAAGTCACTGTGAAAATGCTTAATCTTGTCACACTGGTTATTTTCATCCTCCCTGTTTGACACGCTTTAGTTCTAGACCTCGTTAACGACTCACTTTTGCATTATTCAAAACATTATGATACACAGCTAAAAATGGGCATCATTATTGTCTGTGCCATCACTGAGCTGCTCTGCGGAGAGCCCTTTTATTTCTGCATGGAAAGGTGTGTATATATATAGGCATGCTCGGGAGACATGCTCCTGTGACTGGAGTCCACACAGAAAGCGTGACACGATCTGACAGATCTGAGACACGTCTGCTCTCCTCGGACGCTTCAGCAAACACATCAAAAACCTGCAGTCGCTCACACTGATGAAACAGCCCTGCATCAAACTGCTTATTATTCTGCAAATCACATGCATTTTTTCATCTTGGCCAGAGATAATCGGTTGCGCGAGGATGTCTTTGCATGAAAATGAAGCATCCAAACTCGTTCAGCTGCCAAAATGGAAACCCAAGAGAAAAACAGCATCTACATTCAAATCCAAGCGCTGCCTTCCACATGCAAACTGTGCTGCGGGAAAATGAAACCGGCAAAGGGATCAGGACCCAAACAACTTGCCAAATAAATGAATAAATGGACATGAAATATAGATTTGAGTGTTCATTATTTAATGTGAACAAAACAGGTGTGGAGAGATACGAGAGAAAACCAGCATCATTTTAGACAAATATTATTCAATCACAATCATGTGCTCCAGAGAGAAAGGTAATAAACTATAATAAGCACTGCTCTTTATATTAGACTTTTTTCAGTGAACTGATTCACTGAACTGAACTCAATTGTGCCATCACTCAACATTTTGCATATTTTAGTAAGGAAATTATTGTTGTTTATTAATATGCATTGTAATAGTGGTGCATAAAAATGAACATTATCAAATATATTTCTTCCTTGTGTTCATTTGTGTGGAAAGCATTATCAGTTTTTTTACTGTATTTTATGTCTTGCATTTACAATCAACCTTTGAAGCCACATCAGCAATAATTTTTTTTTTGCATCAAAATTGAGCATTGCCAGAAGCCTGAAAACAGTGCGATATAATGGTTTAAGCTATATCACCAAGCTGTTTATTACTGTAGCGTTTCTTGAAGGGGCTTCCTGAGGAGTCACCATCAGTACAGCAGAAGATGGTAATTAAGCAGGTTAAATACAGAAAAGCCTGAGGGCTGAGTTTATCTGATTATCCAGGTGTAATCCCAGGTCTCCTCACTGCTGTTTTTCTCAGATACAGCATGAGCTGACGCTGCCCAATCTCAGATTTCTGCATCTATCCTCTCAGAGACCATCACTGCTGCTCAACCTACACTTTTCCTTCATCAAATGTGGTCTCAAAAGAGCAGAATAACTCCTGCGGTCTTTCATGCTGACGCACAAAAGGTTACAGCAACAGGATAATACTGAAGACAGTCTAGTGTGCATGTCCGTCTTCTGCAGAACACAAGAATGACTAGGGTCCAAACAAACTGTCGTCGTGCACTCTTAAAAAGCATGTCTGGTTTCCCAAAGAGCCTTTCAGTGACCAGTTCTTAAGAGAACCAAGATTTAAAAAATCTAAAGAACATTTTGTGGAATGGAAAGTTACAGTTGGATGTTAAAGGTTCTTTATGCAACCAGCAACGTCAATAAACAACGTTTATCATATAGTGTCTTATAGGTTTTGAATGACTTGAGGGAGAGTAAATTAAGAACATTTGTATTTTTTTTTTTTTGGTGAACTACTCTGTGAGAAATAGCACTTTCCCTGCACTGGTAATATCATCTGTAAAGCACTGCTGATCCTTTGACATGAATGTTTGTTTTAGAAGTGTACACATTAATACAAAGAAATAAAACTAGGAGACATTAAGCTAACGCTCAGGCATCATTACCCCACCAAACTGAAAGATCTGTCCACGCACCGGTGACTGATGACTGTGCTAATAACCTTCCCTCTAGGGGACTAAGAGAACTAATATGAGGTCAAACTAACATGCCTAATTATATTTCAGGGTCTGGAATGAAGAAAGCATCTATAACATACAGACACCAAACATGACTCGTCACACAAGCTGTGCTAATGCAATGAGTAAGCTGAATGTCTGCTGAATATGTAATGTGATATGCATTTCACATAAAAATATGGTCAAAATGGAAAAACTAGCTACTGCACAATCATGTTCATAAGACATCCAGGAACGGGTTTAACATGCAGAGTATTCGGATGTCGTTAGGCCTGTCACGACGACCACTTTCTGCTGGGTGATTTATTGCTCCAGAAATAATTGTGATAAACAATATTATTTTAAGTTTAAGACTGACGATATAATGATAACATAAATAGCATGATAATGTAAGTACATCCTTTCAAAGAACAAACACTTTTAATTCTTAATAATATGTAGACATTTTAATTGGAATGACTAAATATATATATTCTAAATGAATAAACAAATAAACTTTTAACAAAAAAGTGCAAAGTATCAACAAGTGCAACAAACAGTGACTTTCAGTTTAGACTTTCAGGAAGGAAGTCAGTAACACTGGAGGAATTTGTGAACTCGAGGACCTTATAGCTTATATAAAACTCTTTCTGCACATTCAAAATTGTAAAGTAAAAAAAAAAAGATTATGTATTAATGTTACTTTTTAAGCTATGCTTGTGCTAGCAGCTAGAAAAATAGTCCCTGACCAAAACAGCAAGAAAACGTTCAGGTGTATGCCTCATTTGATGGAGCGCAAATAAAACAGAGAATATGATCTGTTCTCATGCGCTGCGTTATTTATCTTTTAATGTAATATATGATATTTCCTAACTCACGTACATCTGCTGTCTCTGCATGAGAAAATGTTCATTTTCCTCTCTTTAGTTTAAACCAGACTGGTTTGCGCTCTGCCTAATATAGAAGCACCAGTAAACAGAGCAAGTCGATGAACATACCATAACTTTTGAATAATATTCTTTAGTTTCTTTAACAGAGGGAAGGGCGTGGTCTCAAAACTGCAGGTGGAGGATGAGTCACTCATACTTCACAAAAAAATTAATAAACAGTTACTTATTCTGAAATACAATGAAGAGGTCATAGCTGTGCTTTTTCCTAAATAAAACACAGCTACTGACCAATCAGCATCCAGGACCAGAACTATCCGTTTTATATACATAAGAGCAGTGATGAAGAGCACCGTGTCAGGGTTGGGTGAAGAGATGAAGCGAGGACTCAATTGTGCAAAGAAGATGAGCTATTTATTAATAAAAAATCAAACAAAACCAACAAAAACTACCCCGAGGGGGAAACAGGCAGGCAGGCAGGCCGGGACAGGGAACAGCACAGCAAGGCAAGGCAAGGCAGGATCAGACAAGACGGGAACTAACATGGGTATCTATGATGACGAACTGCACAGGGAGAAAGAATAGAGAGCAAACAAGGCAGGTACTAAGAGAGAAGAGGACCGGTGGGGCAAATGAACCAATAATCAGGTAACAGACAATAGACATGAGAGCACATGGCACACAGAAACAAACAAAACACAAGCCATGTACTCACACAAACCCAAACCACAAGCACACGGCCAGCAAAACAAACACAAGCCATGTGCTTGAACAAAACAAGACACTCTTCCGCCGCGTGTTCTCACAAAACATGACAACAGTAGGGTTGGGTATCATTTGAATTTCATCGATTCCGATTCTTTGTGATTAAATAATGATATCAAACATTTATCCTGTGTCTCTTTTTTTGCAAACCATTTACTGGAGCTCAATGCCATGAACAAAATCAACAGGCTACATCAAATCTGGACTCTTTAAGAGCTGTTTGTGTGCAAAATAGAGCTGCATGATTCTGGATAAATTGAGGGGGGGAGGGGGGTTCTTTTTCCCCCCAATGTAAGTTGTGGTTCTCTCATGATTCTGAAGAGAAAAAAAACATTAGACGACTAAACAAAATCACATGTAATTTATGAATGAATGATTCAATGACTCACTCAAGATGTACTTGTTTCATTACTGGATGAATCAGCGTTCTTGAAGGAATCTCTTGTATGATTCAAAGACAGATACATTTTAACAGCCCCTTTTCGCCACCTACTGGCGTAACAATGTGTCACATTACTTTCAAAAGGGGATTTACTCTATCTGAATCGTGAGTTTATATCTGAACTCTAAACTTTTATCCCAGTGCTTCTGTGGTTTGAATGTTTGCAACAGAAATAATGATACTGTGTGGAGAGACTGTGAAGCGCTTTCATTCACGACAGACAGCTGCTGTCTTTAGCACAGCGCAGCGTGAACGCAGATTTAAATGCTCAAATCTCAAGCATGACATGTTTTATTTATTTATTTGTCATTTTTGGAATAAAGCCTCTATTTGCAATAACTCTTACCAATATTAGAAGAACACAGACACCATTTCTGATGAAAAAAGGAAAAAGAAAAGAAAAATGGAGAACCATGAATTCAATCTTCGATTTTATGTGAAGAAGTTCCTTTATTCATTGAGATTGTCCTACTGGAGGCAGGTAACATTTACATATAAATATCAGTAGAGCGTATGCTTACATTCTTCTCTAACAAAAATTATAATGAAAAAAAAAAGAAGAAAAAAATACGAATAAAGTTAAGCTTTGGGACAAGAAGAGATTCAAAGTAACTTTAAAAATATACTTTTTACAAACCTAAAAAAAAAGTTTGTAAATTTGTATTTACATATGCATATATTTTACAAATATATGTAATATATGTAAAGGTACCATGAAATATGCTTTACAGAACCAGTGTTTGTACTGCTTGAGACATTTGCGTAATTCCAATCCAAAATGATGAAAACGTACAGGGTTCAGCTCGTGGAAAGCAGAGACACAGAAATGGAGGCATGGCCTTAAAATAAATGTTATGATTTTGTTTATTTTATATCTTATTTGGATTATTTTTGACTTATATATAGTATGTGCATATTTAATTATTTAAACTGCATTTTATTACTTGCTTCTGCTTTGATTTTAACTATGCTTACATTCTTCTCTAACAAAAATTATAATGAAAAAAAAAAGAAGAAAAAAATACGAATAAAGTTAAGCTTTGGGACAAGAAGAGATTCAAAGTAACTTTAAAAATATACTTTTTACAAACCTAAAAAAAAAGTTTGTAAATTTGTATTTACATATGCATATATTTTACAAATATATGTAATATATGTAAAGGTACCATGAAATATGCTTTACAGAACCAGTGTTTGTACTGCTTGAGACATTTGCGTAATTCCAATCCAAAATGATGAAAACGTACAGGGTTCAGCTCGTGGAAAGCAGAGACACAGAAATGGAGGCATGGCCTTAAAATAAATGTTATGATTTTGTTTATTTTATATCTTATTTGGATTATTTTTGACTTATATATAGTATGTGTATATTTAATTATTTAAACTGCATTTTATTACTTGCTTCTGCTTTGATTTTAATTTCTATCACTTTGCATGAAAATAGTTTAAAATGTGAGCTAGAAATATTAATAACACAGTGACAATGGGATACGCTAGCACAGCCATCCATAAATGCTACATCTACAAGCTAGTTTTTGCCTTAAAACACACAATATTTCACTTCTTCAGTTCGTTTAAAACATTGTAGATTGTACACATCTTCACACTGATATTTTCAGGTCTTGGTCAAGAACATTAATAGCCTACATACTCTTTTATTTTCTTTCACTCTTGTTTTGTCTACACACAGGAATTAATGTACGACTAATCAACAATGGCAAGCTCAGTTAACCTGAATCTCTAGCTGGTAAAGTGACTCCATACGTCTCGCACTCTTTCAGCGGCCCTTAGGTTGCCAGGAATTCATTCCAAGGATGAATACACATTAGTAAAATAATTGATTTTCATTTTCCTTTGTCTACAGACATATAGCGATGAAAGAGATCCGCGCTCATCCAAATTCAGCCAAAAAAGCTTATTACGTTCATTGCTCAGAGGTCACAAAAATATGTGCAAAGGTGCAGAATGTCTTCGGGTATTAAGCCTTCCTCAGTGTCTATGTCTACAGACAAACTTTTGGCAGCCACAGTACCCTGCAACACTGAAAAGCTCCATGGCACTGTGTGGAAATCTCCACTGGAGCCCACACTGAATCCTCATCTTCACACTGCACCAATACATACAGGCAAGGAGTTAAAATGAGCTAGCAGCATGCTGTGAAGCTGAGATTCAGGAGGACATGAGCCAAGAAAATAAAAAAGGCAGCTTTCTCTCTCCTTGCAGATGAAACCATTGACATAAGCGGGGCTCATCTGCATTCACAACCATAAACCATGACAATGGAGCCAAAATATGTCAATAGTTTCTGGATTTCAGTCCTCTCGTCATCTATTACAGAAGCCATCCTCTCTGAGTTTGGAGACTGAATTAGTCACAGCAGGGGTTTGATAGCCCTTACGAAAAAGAAGTTTATTCGAGTGTGCTATTAGTATACTTCTTTTAAACTAAAAATAGGAAAGTATACTTTTAGTCTACTTTGTATGTACTTCTCAGAAATATACTTAAAATAACATTTAAGTATACATGACTTATACTTAGAAAATGTCTTAATATATTTGAGCTATACTTGTGCTCTGAGAATGTCTTCATTGTTATACTGTAGGGGGCGCTAGTACACATCTTCTGTACAGAATTTCCAAAACACAAGAGAAGAAAAAAACTAAGCAACAGATGCTTCCACATGTAATCTAACACGATCTTCAGACATAAAACAGCATCAAAACTGTGTAACGTTATGGAATAAAATGTCGACCCATGAAGAGGTAATAATAACTGTCAAGCTTTGGGGTGCTGATCGACTCCATCTACATTTTGATTATCGTTCTGAATCCAATTCATAGTCTTTTTTCAGCTTTTAGCTCAATCTTGTTACTTACTAAAATAAACTTGAAGTATACTACTTTTTGGTAAGGGAGGGCCTGATACAGCAGCGCATTACCCCTGCTCCTCACGATGATTCAGAGGCCTCACTAATTAAAACACCTGGTTCAGCTCATCTGCAGGGCCACAGCTGAAACAAGTTGAGCTCAAACCCTAACCAAACACACCTATACCAGCCAATCGATGGCTTCATTAGCAGGTCAGTGTGTTAGAGACGGCTGGGACGGTCGCAGTCTCGATTCAAACACCCATGCAATCTCATTCCTACATGATAACGATTCAGCTCTCTCTCGCTGACCACAGACAGCAGTTGTCATGTACGCTTCACAGTCTATTCAACCTAGGCCTGGACAATAATTCAATATCAATATGTATCGCACTATATTTATTTTCAATAATGGTGATATGATTTTTAAACACATTTCCGATATTTCGATATCCATTACCAGTGTTTCCCATACATTGATTTATTTGTGGCGTTTGACTTCGTTGAATAAACATGAGCACTGTTTTATATGAATGTGTCTCTGAAGGGACCCGACTGTCTTCAGAATAGTTTAGATGGCATGTTTATCTGATAAAGTAGCGTTCATGAGCGGAGCTGCTGTGTTTACAGCCGTTACTGGAGAAACCGCTGTTTCTGCCGCCCTCACAGCGCCTCCTGCTGGCAGACAAGCAGTGTGCATTTTCAATAATAAGCCCGTCTCCAGCAACATTTTTGTTGTTGCTTAATTTTTTTGTTTTCTGCAGCAACTCAGAGCACGTTTCATACTCGTTATCCTGGCTGAAGCACATTTGTTTCAATCTATAACAATAATCAGCCTACACGACCAGTCAAAGGTTTTTGAACAGTAAGATTTTTATTGTTTTTAAAGAAGTCTCTTCTGCTCACCAAGCCTGCATTTATTTGATCCAAAGTACAGCAAAAACAGTAACATTTTGAAATATTTTTACTATTTAAAATAACAGCTTTCTATTTGAATATATTTTAAAATGTAATTTATTCCTGAGATTAAAGCTGAATTTTCATCATCTTTCAAGAACCTACGACACAGTGGACAACGGCTCATATAGCACACCTCATGGGGGTCGCATGTCTTTAAACTCACACTCACAGAATATTTCATTACAATTACAAACTATATTTGTCCCATATTGTTGTTAAATGCACTGTACAAACTGACATCACCCTAGGCTAGCGTCTATGCTTCATATATCGTTATACAGCTTCATCGGTCATTTTTGCTCAGAACTTCCGCCTGTAGGGTGATTAGATTCACTCTTGAGCACGCGAGTACAGAAGGATGCCTCCGTGTGTGTGATAGCAGTGAATCGTCAGACAATGAGCAGAGAGCTCAGATATAACAAGTTGTGACAGAGCTAAGCTTAAAAAAACACAAAAAACAGTATCAACTGATCAAGGTGACACGAATCGTTCATCAGTTTTGGTTGTAAAACTCCTGTTTGGAGCATCTGTGTTTTGGATATATCATTTTCCGTTTTAAAATATGTTGAAGTTAGGAATGTGAGCCACTACTGAGCTAATTTCATTAAGGATCTATTTAAAATATCCATATATAATCTATGAATCAAACATGGTTACATACATGCGATTTGCTTGCTTTGCATTATGATCATTGTGTTCGCTTAAGAAACGTCAGCTAATAAACACATGTATTTAAATCAAATGAATCGATAGGCAGTGCAGGACCAAGCAGATGTAAAGGTATTGTTGTTTGTTATTATCACAGCAACTGCTTGCGCTTCTTGGTTTGAACACACTTCTTATGTGTGAAAGGTATCTGTACACGACAGGTGGCAAAATCACAAAAAAAGCTTGATGTGTGCTGCCAACTATAGATTATTTAAGGCTATTCTGTTTGTTAGATCTGTTGGTGTCAAGTAAGTTTCCTTTATAATGTTTCCTCTTTAAATCAGTATCATCCCTCATAACCAGCAGAATATCAAGCCTATAAGCAAAGCTAAACTGTTTTCCTCAGAAAGTCCAAATACTCCCTCACCTCACAGAGTGAACATCTGAACGTGAGTTTGTTTTCCCCTCCAGATATATGCTGTACTTGCAAAATAATGTACTGCATTTCACATGTAACATTAATGTGACAGTAATTTGAATGTCGCCTTTGTAAAAATATAAATCAAATCATAAATGTGCCAAAAGGAAATGAAATGACCAGTGTTTCCAGTGTCAACTAGCAGCAGCAGTGTTGTTTAGTCCAAGGTGGACTAGTCTTGCACATCCCTGGAAGAAATACGAGATTCACAACGAAAGGTAAAGCACCAACTTCAGACAGCTCCGGTTGCCAAAAAGAAGAAGAAGAAATACATTGTTCATTGCTGCAGTTAGCTGTTTTCCCACTTCTTGTTGTATTGTCTGATATGATGTTGTTGAACAGGTCACAGTGAGGGTGTGAGTTTTAGCATCCAGCATGTGTGTTATAATAAAGCAGGAACAGCTCATTACTTTTGGTGGTGGTGCTATCAAGGTAACCTGTCTGTATTCACGGTAAAACTGCTGAAACTGTGTATCTCAGCCCTGTTTTGGGAATAACACTCATTTCCGGGAACGTGACCGTCAATGGTGATTCTTGTGCAATTATTGGAAGTCAGGCTCTGAGCGCTTGTCTATTTTGAAGTTAATTCAATATGAATGGATCAATTGAGGCCATTGTTCTGGTTATGCTCTCTGAAGTTGTGTTCAATCAGTTATCCTTGATTGGAAAAGCTGAACAAGGTCTACTTTTAGTCACAGGAGGTGAATCAATATATCTCCACCTCTTAACCTGTAGCCACACTATGATATGCCGATTTCATATTTACTAAGAATCCCATCTGCAGCCAAAGTCAAGTCACTGGTTGTCTTAATTTCTACATAAATACTGTCAAGTCAATTACCGATTGAAAAAAACAAACCATTAAAAGCCTGTAATATTTAAGCTCAATGATGTTCTCCAGCACTGCATCACTAGTGAATACAGCTGAATCCTCTAGTTTCTGTGCCTCGAGATGTTTTGGGTCATTTTCTGAAACTGTGCCTTTCCCCTTGTGATAAAACTTCAGTGCATTTTTAAACACTCTGTCTGACAAATAATGTAAATTACATTGTGCCGTGTGAAGGTAAATAAATGTGAGTATTTTAGGATAGGACTAAGTACTGTCTGCATTCAGAAAGCAGCATTTAAATAGCTGTACATTAGAGACATAATGCACTGAAAAAGCATTGCCGGATCGCCAGCAACAGCCTTTTTAGGATGCTTTGTGATTTGGTCTTGGTGACTTAGGAGTCCTCTTGACTACCCTTAACTTTTCACAGATTTAGGAGCTGGTTTTTGTGCTAAAACACTATTTGAAGAGCAAGAAATGAGGAGTCCTAAAATCAGGACTGACATGCCTGTTATTTTTAAGAGTTTCTCCTAAATTGGCAAGTTAAGAGCTACTTTTATCCCTGTCTTCATTTCTCCGCAGGGATTTCAGATGATCCTTTATAAGTTGAGGAAAGACAAGGCAGTGAGATCAGGAAAGGACAATGAGCCGGGTCTCAAACTCTGGTAATCCAGGTAACTGAACCTGGCACTACTTTTATTTCTTGTATCACCCCGTGGACTCGCCCTCTTGTGTTTAAACACAACTGCTATTGCGCGTCTTACAGTAACTGTCAGTTGTATTGATAATGAAGAACATCATTATTACTGTAATATTGTTGTAGTGTTCGTCCTGTTGCAAGCCGGTTGTTTTGTACATGAATTCTCATCTCTTAGCAGACTGCTCACAGATAATATAGCCTACACTTAAAATTGATTGATTTTCAAATCAATTCATCAATTTCAACTCAAATCAATATTTTATGTGCACATACTTATTTATTTGGGGAGTAGCGGTGTAATAACAGGATGACTTTACATTATCCCATAATTACATGTGTCTTTGAGCTTGGTTTGAGCTTGTTTTGACTAAAAGCCTCTTGCTCGGAACTGTTTTTCTTTTCAGAAGCTGTAAGTTTATTACACATGGCCAGATCAAATGTTTCAACTCAAATTACTATCTTGTGTCCAATTATTTACTTATGTGACAAGTAGCCATGTGATAAGCAAACTAATGCGGTGGATCCCAACCCGTAGAGACTCCAAGAGCTGAAAGGGTGTGTGAGAGAAAATATTCATGATAAATGTGCAGTGTTGAGGCTTCAAGAACAGGGCTGGAAACCACTGGAGTAATGTACATCCAGCTGATTCTTCACTAGTGTCGTCACGGTGCCTACATTTCATCGGTTCCAATACCTGTAAAATCCCACGGTTCTCTGCACCATAGCAAAAACTGTTGTAATGCTATTATAATTATAAGTAAATATAAATATAGGTTAAAACATTAGCATGTAGCCTTCGAATATTGTTCAATTATGTAAATGTTAGCTAACCGTGCCAGCAGAATGGGTGACCCAGGATCGGTCACTTGTCTGTTGTCTGGCTAGTTTCTCTCTGTAGCTGGTCTTAAAAAGATCAAATGAAAGTAATAAAATAAAATAACAAAGAAAGATGTTACAGGTAACAGAACGAGTGGCCGGTCTAATGAACTCACGCTGCAAGACTTAATGCTCTGTTCTGACACATCAGACCTGTTTTGACCCGTCCGTTGCTATGGTTATCACAATGTCAAATATCTCAATTTCAGATTCAGTCCCGCATTTTAATGCACTCATCACTCCTGACATTTGTAGTGTGTACTTAGCATGAAAAATAAAACTTTTATTCAAATTCTGAATGGGTTTTCCATAGAAAGTGAGCAAAGACGCTCCCCTATAATCAATGAAGCTGATATCAGTTCAGTTCAGATGCAGAACAAGCTCACTGACTGAGTGAAAACTCCCGTTATAATAATAAAAATGTCTATACTGAACAATAAATGTCTTATTTACATCGTGTTTACAGCTGAACGAACTCTGGCGATTCTGACTTGCACGCCTCTGATTGGCCATTGCGATCATTTATGTAAGTATTGACTTGGTATTGAAGTAAAGGTACTTTTGACAACACTATTCTTGACAAAAAATAAAACCCTCAGGGTGATTAGAATATAATCTTGATCATCCTGTTCTTTTTTTCAATATCAAACAGCTGACTGTGCAATATTCCTTACATAAATATACATACACAAAAACATTAGTCTTGTTAAAGGTGTTAGATAAATGCTAACAGGCCATTGAAAACGATCACGTCAAACAGAACTGCTACATGAACATATTTATGACTGCATATGACTTCCTGGATCTCTCTTCAGGATTATGGCTAATGTAGTTCTCCATCCAGAATTCAGATATTAAACTTTTCATTTTAAGATGAAATCATACTGACTTGTGGCTTCTACAGCAGCAAATATCATCACTGAGCCACATCAGAGCTCATGGTGGAATTTCTTAATGGAATAAATGAATGCAGTTTTTTGCTCTATTGTAAAGCAGCTTAATAAAATCTGTGAAACGATGAGCTGCACTTACGGCAGTGTGGTCTGAGAGAACATGAGCCGCATGTTGTGACGGCGCACTGCAGCATGAGAGCATTAGTGCTTGTGGGCTTGTTCGCATCTGTCTGAAATGCACTTTAAGTTAACGAAGTCAAAATATTTCCTGCAAAATGCTCCTCTCTGATCAGAGTGTGTCCCCTCGCTGCCAGAGCACTCATCCCACAAAAGGCTCGGAAATCAATATATTAAGAAGAATGGACATTTCAGTGATGCAGTAAATATTTCCACTGGTTTACCCTTGATATTTGTATGTGTGCTTGTCTATTTAGTCATTATTCCTGTAAAAATCTTCAAAATGGAAAAAAAATGTAATGTTATGAAACAGGATTCAGTGCTTCAATCACATTGATCATTGTTCATTCAGATTTCATAGGAATTTATCCGCAGCATTGTAGGTAACAGAGTTAATAACGATGAATTAAATTGGCACTATATTTATCCGTAGGGTGTTGTGCTCTGTCGTCTCTAGGCGGTTGCCAGGGTGTCATTAGGGTGCTCTAGGCGGTTGCAGGGTGTTATTAGGGTGCTCTAGGCGGTTGCAGGGTGTCATTAGGGTGCCCTAGGCGGTTGCCAGGGTGTCATTAGGGTGCCCTAGGCGGTTGCCAGGGTGTCATTAGGGTGCCCTAGGCGGTTGCCAGGGTGTCATTAGGGTGCCCTAGGCGGTTGCCAGGGTGTCATTAGGGTGCCCTAGGCGGTTGCCAGGGTGTCATTAGGGTGCCCTAGGCGGTTGCCAGGGTGTCATTAGGGTGCCCTAGGCGGTTGCCAGGGTGTCATTAGGGTGCCCTAGGCGGTTGCCAGGGTGTCATTAGGGTGCCCTAGGCGGTTGCCAGGGTGTCATTAGGGTGCCCTAGGCGGTTGCCAGGGTGTCATTAGGGTGCCCTAGGCGGTTGCCAGGGTGTCATTAGGGTGCCCTAGGCGGTTGCCAGGGTGTCATTAGGGTGCCCTAGGCGGTTGCCAGGGTGTCATTAGGGTGCCCTAGGCGGTTGCCAGGGTGTCATTAGGGTGCCCTAGGCGGTTGCCAGGGTGTCATTAGGGTGCCCTAGGCGGTTGCCAGGGTGTCATTAGGGTGCCCTAGGCGGTTGCCAGGGTGTCATTAGGGTGCCCTAGGCGGTTGCCAGGGTGTCATTAGGGTGCCCTAGGCGGTTGCCAGGGTGTCATTAGGGTGCCCTAGGCGGTTGCCAGGGTGTCATTAGGGTGCCCTAGGCGGTTGCCAGGGTGTCATTAGGGTGCCCTAGGCGGTTGCCAGGGTGTCATTAGGGTGCCCTAGGCGGTTGCCAGGGTGTCATTAGGGTGCCCTAGGCGGTTGCCAGGGTGTCATTAGGGTGCCCTAGGCGGTTGCCAGGGTGTCATTAGGGTGCCCTAGGCGGTTGCCAGGGTGTCATTAGGGTGCCCTAGGCGGTTGCCAGGGTGTCATTAGGGTGCCCTAGGCGGTTGCCAGGGTGTCATTAGGGTGCCCTAGGCGGTTGCCAGGGTGTCATTAGGGTGCCCTAGGCGGTTGCCAGGGTGTCATTAGGGTGCCCTAGGCGGTTGCCAGGGTGTCATTAGGGTGCCCTAGGCGGTTGCCAGGGTGTCATTAGGGTGCCCTAGGCGGTTGCCAGGGTGTCATTAGGGTGCCCTAGGCGGTTGCCAGGGTGTCATTAGGGTGCCCTAGGCGGTTGCCAGGGTGTCATTAGGGTGCCCTAGGCGGTTGCCAGGGTGTCATTAGGGTGCCCTAGGCGGTTGCCAGGGTGTCATTAGGGTGCCCTAGGCGGTTGCCAGGGTGTCATTAGGGTGCCCTAGGCGGTTGCCAGGGTGTCATTAGGGTGCCCTAGGCGGTTGCCAGGGTGTCATTAGGGTGCCCTAGGCGGTTGCCAGGGTGTCATTAGGGTGCCCTAGGCGGTTGCCAGGGTGTCATTAGGGTGCCCTAGGCGGTTGCCAGGGTGTCATTAGGGTGCCCTAGGCGGTTGCCAGGGTGTCATTAGGGTGCCCTAGGCGGTTGCCAGGGTGTCATTAGGGTGCCCTAGGCGGTTGCCAGGGTGTCATTAGGGTGCCCTAGGCGGTTGCCAGGGTGTCATTAGGGTGCCCTAGGCGGTTGCCAGGGTGTCATTAGGGTGCCCTAGGCGGTTGCCAGGGTGTCATTAGGGTGCCCTAGGCGGTTGCCAGGGTGTCATTAGGGTGCCCTAGGCGGTTGCCAGGGTGTCATTAGGGTGCCCTAGGCGGTTGCCAGGGTGTCATTAGGGGTCTCTAGGCGGTTGCCAGGGTGTCATTAGGGTGCTCTAGGCGGTTGCCAGGGTGTCATTAGGGTGCTCTAGGCGGTTGCCAGCGTGTTATTAGGGTGCTCTAGGTGGGTTCTTCCTGGGTGGTATAAAAAAGACAGAACCACATTTGAAGACGGCTTTTGTATGTTGTAATTGTACCAGATGTAACCATGCTGCATTTGCAGTTCTTATTAAAAAACAATGAATAACATTTATTATTTATTTTCTGGAATAGCCCAAACTACTTTAAATTTTAAAATGTTAAAACTACTTTCTTCAAGTTTTTTTAAAACTATTTTAAACTTTCTAGCCAAGCTTTCTCAAGTACACATCAAAGCTTGTCTTTTATCAACTCAACTTAACTCGTTTGGCAATACATGCCATTGTAACAGAAACGTACAATTAAAAAATCCTGATATAAAACACACCCTTGCCTTTTTTGCTTCCATTTCAAAAATATTAAAGGGGTCATGTAAGGAAATAACATAAGTGCTGCTAAACCGAATCGAGCAACTAAGCAATAAACATGCCGTTGAAGATCGCAGAATATTGTGCGGTGCCTGATTTTGGGAGAACAGTCGCTGCATAACCTTCCTTCAGATTCAAATATTAGGAATGCGTGGTTGAACTTTATTCTTACTGAAGTTTCAGCTCACGTGAGTAAAACATTGAGCGTTTGTTTGCTTCATTTCACAGCGGATTCCTTTGTAAACAAGATGCAGGTCGACGCTGGATTTGCAGAGAGACAGATTAAAAAGCAATGCTGTGCGTCTATAGTAGATCCGACAGGAATGGAGCAGCTGCACACTTAATATTTATACTGTGTCACTATTGCTTTGTTAGAGACCGCTTGATTATATGTACGTGCCTAACCAAAGTCACAGAAGGCTTCAACTATGAAGCAAGTTTGTAGTTAGTTTACTATGCAAAACTGTTATCCAATCACAGCAGTGGGCGTTTACTTCAAAGTCTTCAACGCGGCACGCTCATAATAACCAGCGTTTCTCAAGCCGGCCTTAAAACCAGGGTAGAAAATAGCCTATTACTTATTGATTTAGATATTTTTTTATATTTTTGTGGTAAAAAACACACAAATGTCATAAGTGGACCTCAGACAATAGTGTAAAATAATTCAAAAGCAATGACCCCTTTAAAGTGTTTAGGGAACACAAGTCAACGAAAATACAAAGGCAGCACTCTATTACAACATTAAAGTTAAATAAAAATATTAAGTTATTAAACGTAGCTTTGCTCTCAGTCAAAACACTTTGCCCAGGAGCAAATAATAGATATATGAGACCAAAGATTGCCTGTTAGACAAACCCAAAATAAATAACATCTCCCGTTTAACAGCTACAAAGTCAGACTTTGTCCTAATATCAAAGAACCAAACTTTACATTTTATGTTGATTCATGGTCAAATGTTTCCCCCACCCACAGCCGTATTGAGAAACTTTGGTTTGTACAGCAGTATTTTTAAGAATGAAGTTAGTCACACTGACGTGTGGCTTCGACAACAGCAAATATCAACACTGAACAACCTCAGAGCTAATAGTATATCTGATATCTGAAAGGTTTATATGTAATAACTTAAAACTGTTTTCTCTGTGGACGAAAGTCGAAACAAATAAAAAAGATCTGCACTGCGTGCGGTGTGAACAAAGCCTGTACACAGAGCTGTTACAGAGCAATAAAAAATAAATTAATTAAAAATTAAAAACAATTTGAATTCTATTACTTCTGTTTTACGGAGTATACTGTTTCTGTTGTTTGAGCTTGAAAACAAGCAACACATTTGTTACTGCAGAGTTTCATGCAGTGTTCTTAAAGGGAAAGTTCACCCAAAAATGAAAATTCTGTCATTAATTACTCACCCTCGTGTCGTTCCAAACCCGTAAGACCTTCGTTCATCTTCGGAACACAATTTAAGATACTTTTAAGATGAAATGTGAGAGCTCTCAGACCCTGCATAGACAGCAACGCAACTGTAATGTTCCCAGATCCAGAAACGAAGTAAGGACATCGGTAAAACAGTCCATGTGACACCAGTGGCTCAACTTCAGCTTTGCCAAGCTACGAGAATACTTTTTGAGCGCA